ATTTGACGATAATGTGTGCACTGTGATAATAGGATAGATGATTAGAGAAAATTTATGGGAAGCAGCAAAACTTTTAAGCGATTCAGAGAAAGTTTGGAGATAGATGGTGACTGTAAGTAGGAGCAGAAGAGATAAGTAGGACAACTAAAACCACTAGAGCGATGATCAAAGGAGTGAACTTAGACGAATATTCTTCCGTAGCGGAGGATCGTGTTTACGGTCGAATTTTGAGTTCATCCTGCCAACAACAAGGAACGTGACTACAACGGGAAGGCCCTCCACTTTTAATTCTACACAATGGGGGGGGGGGCAATAAAAAAGACATTGAAATCGATTCAATCTCACTTGAGTTGAATGATCCCACAGTGGCCCTCAACGTGGAAGGCTTCAGGGCTTCAGGAAAATTTGCCCTGGAGACGCGGTACACTGGTCTTGCTCAATGGAGGTCGTCGACGGATCCCATACCACTACGACGTTTTCTGGAAAGGCGGGTTCCGAGGGGGTTTGCATAGTAGAGCTAATGTCTCTAGGAAACTATCCAACATTGAATCTTCCAAGAAATTATGTAAGAGCTTCAGGCTGAAGCAGTTACGGTAGGCCTCCTTGAGCTCGACGACGGTGACAGATGACGTCATATTCTGAAGACGGTGAGGGCAGTGAAGGAGGGCCTGCGTTCACTTATAGAGGAACACTTTGCTGAGGAACTTCCGTCAACGACGGCAATCTCTGCGAAGAAAAAAGAGCCGAAGTCCGACATAGGCAAAATGTCTTTTTTTCTGCCTCCCCCCCCCTGTATACATATGCCGAGAAACTCCCCTGTCTGACTGGAAACGTAGTGGCAGCTCCCTGCCAGTCTGGTTACCTGTGAAGCATATGATCGCTAGCAGTTCACCGCCGTGGCTTGGACCTAAAAGTCAGCAATAATTTTTTTAAATTCTCTCAGCTTTTTTTCTCTCTTAACATGAACCCAATGCTTTCATTTTCAAATACTGTCGTTGATTGTGCTACGTTTTTGTTGTTCTTTTGTAGTGTTGTTTTGCAGATCTCCTTCCACCTAGATTTTTTTATTCAATGTTATGTTCTAAAGATTTCGCTCACCGTTTTTGTTCATTTTTTGACGCTAATGTCCTTAGGGGGACATTGGAGTGGGTGGGCCACTGATAAAACTCAGGACTAAGCTTTAGGGAAGGGAAAGAAATTGTGGGCAACCATTGTTCTCCCTTGTGTTTATTCCCAGTCCTGGGCTTAGTCGTAGTGTCACCTACCAGCGGTTTTTGAATGCCCTGTTCAGAATGTCCCCCCTAAGGACATGAGCGCCCAATTTTTTAAATAAAATTCTTTATGTCTGTTCCATTTCAGCAATTATTATATTCAGGCGTCGAAGAGATAGCAATGCTTAGTCTGGAAGGAGCGTGGAACCGTTTTTTTTTTCAATTTCAGCGCTTTTTAAACATTTTCCTCGTTGTGCCACTGCGTGACTATTGGACAAATGTGAAGAACACCATGTCCCCCAAAAAGTTGGTCAAAAATGTTTGAAGGCATCAATTGTAATAAACAAAAACTGTTAAAAAAGACATGTGAAGGTGAAAATTCAACTTCTCCCTCTGCAGGGATCACTAAGGGACTTTAAGAAGAGAGTCGGACTTCTAACTATGGAGGCAAATTTTTAGAATCCACATTCTCAACCTAATCTACGTTGTTCCGCACCCACACACAAAGCGAACAGAATCAGGTGTGAAAAAGATCGCTCATACCACTTCCCACCCACGCGCAGTTGTGGAAAGAGAAAGCGTGTGATCACATAACCCAGTGACCTCAAGTAATGGTAATCGCACACAATCGGACGGATTACTGTTTAGAAACGCGATCGACTCTTTCCATCTTTCGTCAAATTCCATTGCCAAATGAGTATTCTTTACGTAATTATTCTCTACTCGCTACTGCACTATTCACATTGTAAGTGACAAACGGCATAGTACTCAAATTTATACCTATTTACCTGATTACTGTACTCACAAGGAAGGTCTTTCAGGAAATGCCAGCTTTCTCGAAACGGTTCTTTGCATGATATAGGGGTACGTGCATGGAACACGGAACTGTAGTTCATTTTTCCTGAGCGGCCCTCTGAATACCAAAAAAGGGGTGATGAAGTGGTCCGTGGTTCGAATCCTCGCAGTGACAATTTTTTGCATTTTGTGTTGGCGTTTCAAAATTCGCAAAAAGTAGCGTCACCGTAAGCAAGTCAAACCGTTTCGAGAAAGTTGGGCATTTCCTGGAAAAGCTTCTTGGCCAGTTCTAACAATAAGTTAGTTTATTTAGCCACTAGTGCGGAATCCTACTTCGGTGTGCCAGTGGGAACGATGAAGTACGCAAATCTTGGTATTCGTGCTGAGGTGTTTCTTGCCGATGATCACACAATAGTCCTCGACAAATTCACACATAAACCACTACACTCTGGTTGTGAGTCGAAATATAGTTTTTGAATTTGCAAGACTTCGGTGATCTGCTCATTAGCAGTTTATAGAGCGGTTGTATGACATCTAATCCTTTTGGTGTGGCGGGAACCTGGTAGTAAGTAAGAATGCGTGAGCCAGGGGGAATGGGGCCAATTCAGGGGGGGGGGGGGGGTGTGTGAGCCACTTAACCTGTGGCAAAAGTTTGGGCCTTAGTGTCTGGTGTCTGGCCTTGTGAAGGAGACGCAGAGGAGCAAAAGGATTAGATGTCACAACACCTGTATAGTACTTGTCCTATTCTCATTCCCTTCTATTGTATGCGCTCCATTCCGGCTTGTACTAGATAGAGGGCAAAGCGACAGAAGTGACCATAATCGTTAGATACCATGGCCAGTTGTGCACACATGAAACGGTGGCTTTAGCCACTGCGCTACGTGCGTACCACTTGCAGGGTTGACATACGTATCTTGTGAAAATATCGGAGAAATAAAAAGGAGCTGCCGCAATTTTGACATGAGTTTGACATGACAGGTGCCTGCTTTAGAAACCATCCGCGAAACCAGGACAGTTGTTGAATATTGTTCAAAAAAAATCAAGATCTATATCTCTCCATCCGATGTATCCGAGCTGTTTCAATGAATTTTTGGGAAAGGAGAGAATTTTCAGAATTTTTTTTCACAAATTTTTAGAACATTGCAAAAATAATGATATTTTTATTGTGGGTTTACTATCGCGTATAACCCACCGCCATCTCCTCCCTCCCCCTTTTCCACGTGGACGCTTTTTGAGTGAAGCCAGGCATGAGCTCAAGTAGGAAGGGAGTGAGATTTCGAAACAGAGGCAATTTTCGGGGCCTCAGCTCCGGGTCATAATGACTACGAGGGATAGGGCGGTTGTGTGAGGGGTCGATTTGCTAGACAAATTATTTAAGAAGTAAGTTACCCTCACCGTGGCTTTCCGCTGTCTCAGAAGATTCTCTGGAGGTTTCATACCAAGAACGTCCTATCGAAGCAACTGCCCAAATGACCTATGCTCCTAATGGAATTCACCAATTTTGGAAAAAGCACAAAATTTGATGAGCAGTAGGTTGAGGGAAAGGGATAAATGTTATTAAAATAATCGTTTGTGATTTCTTCAGGTACTGCACTGATGCTAGGACCAGCCAGGCGAGAAGATCTAAAGCGAAAGGTAACATATTTTATGATTTGTTGTTTGAAAGTACAGAAAATAGCGACAGAACTTAGATTGTTGAAGATATTTTGTTGAGGCTCAGCTTATATTTTGTATTGCGCCCTCGGAGTCTTTCCTGGGATCTCTCCCTTTTTTATCTCTAACGACTTCGTCAGGCGCTCTGCCTGCCTTTTGGGTGCTTCTGAGTGTTGTCGCATTTCATACACATGCAGTTATTATTATATTCACAAGCACCTCCCTGAGGCCGATGTCATAGTTTGCGAATCGAGCGATTCGCTAGCGAATCGCTGGATCCGAGCGTTGCGCCAGCGAATCGAACGTTGCACCAGCGAAGTCGAACGATGTACCAGCGAGTCGAACTATGTACCAGCGACTCAATAGTGGCAGAGTCAACGTGACAGTGGACGCTGTTTGAAAGTAGCGGGACTTGACAGTGGACACTGTTTGAAAGTGGCGGGCTTCCTTTAATCGTTGGGTCCCGCCACTATTGAGTCGCTGGTACATAGTTCGACTCGCTGGTGCAACGTTCGATTCGCTGGCGCAACGCTCGGATCCAGCGATTCGCTAGCGAATCGC